GAAAACAATAAAAAAAAGGTCATTCCCAAAAATGTGTCAAGTGACACATTTTCAGGAATTTCCGTTGGCCATTGGTTTGTAATTGGGCAAATCCATGAATGGGTCACTATTATTAGCGAAAATAGTCGGCTGAATGAGAATCATGTCCCGAATGCTGATTTCGGGATTGTGTCATGACTCAGCAACTTTTGAATTCAAATCGAGATCCAGAATATTGGGTTTTCTCGAAATATGCCGCATTCACAGAGCTAACGCTTCATCAGGTTAGCTGTTAAACACCCGTCTTTAGATTACGAGCACTTTTGATGCTTTAAACGAAAAGAAAATTATGCACCAATGACAAATGGTCCACGCTGCCTTTAACAGTACGGGGTGTTAATTTAAACATTGCATTAGTGATTAAGTGGGGTTAGAGAGTAGATTTTGAGTACACCTTATTGCACTGATCTATCAGAAAATTTAAATTACCAACTAACTAAAGGGGCTACGTACCGTAGGGCCAAAGGGGTGGGGGAGGGGTGAAGGGGGAGGGGTTAAGGGGGACGTGTATCATCGTATTTCTGTGAAATTGGATTAAATTAGGCCCTAAAGTTGTATTTTGCAAGGGAGTGTATCATTTTTCAAAATGGCGATGGGTTTCAGGACCACTTTTAGGTGTAATTGTCTGTGGACGGAATTTTCTCCAAAGAGTTATCGAACTACCCCCCCCCCCCCAAAAAAAAATTAACAAAAAATGAAAGATGATGAAATAAGCTTTAATTTAATGGGTGTCTCATACACCTTGGAGAGTTCTGAGTATTTTTCATGATCTTGAGAAGTGGCAGTATCTATCATTGAGGTCTTTGGCAGTTTATCTACTTGTCTGCAACGCTAGGAAATGTCTCCGTTCTTTCCCCCTCCCCCCTTCCCCCACCAACCCCCCCCCCCTTCCCCTACCACCTTACCCACTCTACCCTGACGCTCCTGGTAAATATTATGCTATATCACATATCAGCTCAGCCCCCAAATGAGCGCAACTGCAGCAGCACAATGATTAATGATGATGCTGGCCCCCTTCAATATTTCATGGTATGGTTTATCTCCGAATGGTAAATGGATCCTTGACTTAATGAGTTTGTCTGTAATTAACATAACCCAACGCTTGGGCAAGGCCAAGGTACATGTGCTGTATAGCTTGAGGCAATTCCTGTGTGAGTGTGTTTTATTCATTATGAATGTTGTAAAAGAGGTGAATTAAATTAACAAGTCGATGAGTTATATGTGTACAATTTTGTTTGACATAACATGATTATGAGGTTCATGCCTAATGAGGCACAATAAAGTAATCTTGAGGTTAACCTCACATGTTTAACAGTTTAACAGAAACTTGTCATACAGAATGGGTTGGATGCCCATGATTATGAGGTTCATACCTGAACCTCATAAGGTAACCACTTGCTCCCAGTTGAACCTCCCATGCATGTGTACCATTGGTTATGAAATTTGGACACGAACGATGAATGCAATTATCCAAATTGAGAACGTACCGGTATTTTACAGTACCAGCTGTGTGCTCATGATTATGAGAAGTAAAATGAGAATTTATTTTACAGTACTAGCTGGCTGCTCATGATTATCAGGTTCATGAGCTCATGAGGCACACAAGAACCTCAAGGTGAACCTCAAAAGGAATTGTTGACACAACAAATGAGGTTCATGAGCTCATGAGGCACACACGAACCTCAAGGTGAACCTCAAAGGAATTTTTTGGACACGATGAATGATATGTTCCAAATTGAGAAGTAAAATGAGAACTTATTTTACAGTACTAGCTGGCTGCTCGTGATTATGAGGTTCATGAGCTCATGAGGTCCTGTACATTGTATGAGCCTCAAACAAGTTGAAGTGAACCTCATTCTGTGCATGAGGTATCTACATGTGTGCACATGTATGAAATGAGGTGTTCAAATAAGGTACTACTTTTGCACATTGTGTTGCCGAAAATTGAACAGTCAACTGGTTTATTTTGTCCAGTAAAGTTAAAAAGTGGATTCATTCTTGGATTGGTCAACAGTTTCAGCTTTGCAGCAGGAAAAGAAGTAGTATGGAAGATATTTTTTTCTTTTCTTGGTAATTTTATATCATTTACGTACGCGCACAGCTGTTTGGAAATGGATATTTTTGTTTTTGTCAATGCTTCATATATTGCGAGTCCAATGGTGTGGCGAGAATTGCATTGAGGACTGTCGGCTATGTAAGCTGTACGAGAACTACGAGTATTAAATGAACATTGTATTAGATTTTCACTGCGTAATTGCTGCTGGAGTTACTTTAACAGTAGTGCTGTTTACATAATGGATTCCGGTTCTTGTCCTAGAAAGAGTCATCGATACGGCACACAGTAAAGTGCAAAGATATTAAACTTGGCGGATCGGTTGCAGTTGTTTGCCCAACTTAAAGGGACATGATTGCTGTAATTGGCCAGTCTGTCTCCTGGTATCCCTAACTTGGTGAAAAAAAGTATTACTTTAGATTGTGGATTACTGGTAAGATAACCTTAAGTGGTTGTAACTTCACACTAGCTCTGACAACTCTTGAGTAACATTGGTTTGCCGAACAAAACAACAAGTTAGTGAAAGCACTTTTCAACCATGTTGCAACTTGTGTGTTACCGTCCTCTGAATAAACGTTTATTGATGAAGTTCATGGGTAATGTTCTATTAAAATTCTTGAAGATTTTCCTAGCATTTAATAAATAAAATTGTCCAGAAGACGAACGTACATGTATCTGTAAGAAAATAGTGAAGCCTCAATAAATTAGTTTGTTTCTCGGCCTGAAGAAAATCGGTGCCCATCCACTGTATGTATGTATATCTTTCAAATAAACATGAGACAACATGTATGTACATGTACGCCTAATATTTATGGGTTTTTCATTAAAATTTCAATGAAAATTCATTGTTTTTGTCACCAAGAGTATCTATTTTGGTGGAGATAAATGTCATGTTTGAGCATTTTAAGTACATCATAAATCCTCGGCATTGAGTACATGAAAAGAAAATTCATGAAAATTCATGGTTTTTCTCACTAGCTTTTTCCTTATTCAAGCCAAATTTGTTCCCTGCTACAATCCACGAAATCCCAATAAATCTGCAATAAAGCGGACACATGTACCGTAGATGTACATGTAGACATTTTTATTCAATAGTGTCAAAAAATGCATTGTAATTTGCATAGAAAATGTTGATGGTGTCCTGTGATTGGTTGAGAGGCTGTTACATGATTACTCAGAAATTGAACTACTTAATCAGGAAGAAAGACTTCATGTACCTCATGATCGAAAAGAAGTGAAGAGGGCCCTAGCTACCATACGTACATGTACCAATCAAGGCTTCTAAGTGTTTAAGAGAGATTAAACCTCCTCCTGTCTGAACAGTCACAGACAGTAAAAAAATTAAATCCTCTCCCCTGCCATGCCTTCTACACATGCTAAGCACCAACATTCAGATCATATTTCAAGCAAGCACTGTGACTAGTCAAATTCAGTCAACTGTAAAAAGCCAGCAAGTGGTAGGCACAGCTGGCAGTCAAAGCATAGCTGTATCAGGCTACATAAACAGTCACAGCCAGTCAATCCTGCTTTATGTAGGCTGGGAGCTCTTAACTGTTGAAAACAGTCACTTGATTGATTTTGACTGAAAGGACAACTTGTCACAGAATGTATGTTTGCATGAGGGTTTATGGAGTTATGAAATAAATGATGCAACGTGGAACAAGTAGCTGACATGTTTACATGTGTAATGAATTTTCACTTGACTAAAAGTTTATAAAAAATAGGCATTTTCAGAGTGGAACAATAACATGTATTTTTAGTTTTGTGACATTTATTTGTCTGTAATTCTTTGTAAAATATCCGTTGCTCCTGCATTAAAAGTGTTATTTTACACACATTCAAGCATTTAAGAAACAGTATTGACTGAATCATATCATTTTAACGATAACCATTTCCAAGATATTTCAAGCTATCAAAATTATGTACTCGTGCTCGGATTATATTTTGATGAGAAACAAGATCACCCATGGCTGTACATGTCCCTTGGCTTTTAATTGTCTGAAGGAAACGACGGCAAGTGTATTCCTCCACGCTCCGTAGAGAACTCACATGTACCGGGTGCACACATTGTGTCTACAAGGAGAAGGAATCGACACGTGAGGAGTCAAGTCTCTCCACACAGGAGCTCAGCGCTGCCGTAGCCTCGGGGCCCAGATACGGGCAGACAGGAAGCCCGAGCGGATGTCATGATCGCATAAATGCAGCCGACGATGAAGAAACCAAACGGGACTGGCGTTGTTGATTGAGTCCTACCGTTGGCTTTGGGTTTCTTCCCCTCTGCGTTGTTGCGCCCGTTGCGTCGGCGCTTTTGTTTTAAAATCCCACCTCCTCGCGAGGGGGGACTGGAGTAGCCACTCCTGGAGTGGGCTTTTTTTCCTCGCTGAGGGCCTTTGATTGGACGGCTAAAGTTACACTGTTTGGGCTGTCTCGTAGTTTTTTTTCTTTCTTTTACGAGAATACTCATTTCCTCTGTAACGGTTCTTGTATAAATAGCTCGGCGGGATTGTTGTTTTTCAGGCAACCTCTCAGCTTAATATTGCTGTTTTTATTGTACCTTTGGAGTAGGAATGAGTGCCCCGGGTCCAAGGTCAGAAAGTTGGAGTTAATGTCTAGGAATAAACGTATTTGTTTTTCTAAAGTTGTGATTCCAAGTTGGAAACATCAATCTCACAGGCACATAGCTTGGATTTAGAATGATAAAAGATTCTTCTCCACTCTAGAAAAAGTACACTTATTAGATAAAAGTCAATTTTTTTAAAAATTAAAATTACCATTTCATTTCAAGTAAATTGAAATGAAGTATCAATCGTTCTTCTGACGCCTTGCCATTGCTTCAAGCAATCTTACTTTAAAGCCGCAACGTTTTAACATCGTCTCTTCATTTTGACATTTGCTCTGTTCTCAACAGCTGGCACAGATCATTACGCTCATTTGCATAACAATAACCGGCTTCATTGACAAGTCCTTCAACCCAAAGCGGCTATCCAGGTTCATCAAAGTGCTCATCCCTGTGCTGGCGTTAGCCGGCTACGACAGCAGGATAAGCCGCATCCTTCCGCAAACACGAAAATTACCGTAATTAGTTTTATTGATTTTTGGAGGATAGGGGTTGTCGTCTGTTGTTGTCCGGCTTTGTTTTGTCATTGGAGACTGCTCGTATTTGTTCAATATAGGCAAATTGAAATGCCTGGGCCTCCTGTGCAGCAGGTACCGGTATGGTGCGTGTTGAGGAGGTCTTTAGGGCGAACTTGTCAAGAGGGCTGTGAGACATGGCCATGGGGAAATTATGGCTTGTTACTTTTACCAGGGTATGATTGGTTAGGGTTGTGTTTATTATTAGGGAAACGCGCATAGTGAACTTGGAAGTCAATAACATGTAGACAATAGGGTAGGGCCTTATTCACGAGTCGGCCATGTTAAATTGAAAGCGAGATAAAATCTTCATTTTTTGAACTTGCGAAGAGAAATGAAAGGAATGACATGAAGTTAATTACAAATTAATACCAGTCTCCTCTGATGAATAATTTAGAATTTGTGATTCAACCTACCCTAATGTTTTAAGCTACATTTGAAATTAAAAAAAATAAATGAAAGTGAGGCTAGAATGCATAAATAGTCTGGCACCTTCCCACTCAACTGTTCACAATTTATAAAATACATTCAGGGAACACGACCAAAATGGCGAGTAAGGTCCATGATACCGTACATGTACATGTACATGCAGATACACATAAACATACACAGTGACCAAGAAACTCTATGTACATGTAGGGAGGAAATGTAACATTGTGCCGATTACTCAATGAATAATCTCCAATCTTTTCAGTTCCAAATTGTGTAAATTCGAATGAACCTTTTTGTCATTGTAGAGCCCTACAGTACTAAGCTTGAGGCAGTCGGGCAGTATTTTTGTTGATAGTCCAGGTATGCAATTCCCTTGCTTGAAATAGTCACAGACTGCAAGATTCTGTTTTTCATACACCTTTGTCAACCATAACCCTAATATGATTTTTCACGCACCTTAGGGGGCTTTGGGTAATTGAATTTTCTTGGGACAACTTCTCTTCTCAGGAAGACGAGAAATCTTTGGCTATTCTTGCAATTAATCATTCAGTGAAGATGCTAATACGTATATAATATTGGATGGCTTTGAGGGGGATACAAGAATAATTGCACGAGCTGTAACAATATTGCAGGGTTTAAAGATGATTACAATACTTTTATAGCCAGTTCAATATGTTCTTGTATCCCCTGAAAAAAAGCTATCCAACTTTCTTGTTATTATTTATGTCAGGCTGACTTGATCAGAAATATATACATGTACATTTCATGATACTGTCTTTATTTCTGAAATTTCGTCAAACAATTCTTCACTTTAATACTGGAGCAAATTTGCTCGAAGCTGCCGTTTGTGGTTATTGAAAACAGTGCGAGTAAACCCTATTGCACGCTGCGTGCGTGCGTGACGGTATACCGCATGCCACGCTCTGTTGGCCGGTTGACAACTGTTTTTTACACACTTAATTGAGCGGGAACCAGCAAAATTTGCTACAATGCCCAGATAAGGACAATATCAAAAATACTATTGTCCTCATCCGGGTACTTTTTAGTGAAATAATATTGCAGTCATCCGGGTACTCTTTACCAAAGCATACAATTTGCCGATTTATTTTCACAATTGGAAGCCTGATATAAATAATATAATGCCTTAAATGCTACCGTTTTAGTTTTGTGTGAAGGAGTTGGATTATTTTTCTCCATTTTTTTTTTGAGCACAAGGAACATACCCTTTTTTAGTTTAGGGCTGGCCCAAAGTACAGCACAATCTTGATTTTATATGTGTTTGATGACGCTCATATTGTCGTGTTCAATTTAGCGTACAGGTCAGATTGGCCTGTGCGCGGTTATATTTGCCAGCACGTAGCCAGCGTGATGCGATTACTGCCAAGCAAGGCTGGTTAACCCGACCCTGACGACGTCAAACAGTTTCTTCGCGCTCCTTCCTTCTCCCTTCTCCCTGTCCGTCTCTCGCTGTTTCAGTCCTGTTTTAGCTTCAAATGTTTCCGTTTGATTACCGCAGCTGACCTTATCTAAAATCTGTGAGATTTTTTTCCCCTCTTGTGTTGCAACATGTGATATATTAACCACAAATGTTCTATGTATAAATGTATTGTACATGTACATGTACATAATGATCTCAGTAGGCACTGCTTATTACAAATTATTATTACATGTATTAATATTATTTATTCAGCCCAAACAACATGAAATTACAAATGGAAATTAAAAAGCGAAATTGAAAAGAAAAGCACAAAAACATAAACACTCAAAATGATTGAATAAATAGAAACAGAAAACAAAACAAACTTACAATAATATAAACAAATACCAGAAATAATCCAAAACAAATGAACTAAAAAAAGCCAGCTAGACCAGTTCCCTGACCTTACAATTCCCTGACAATCTATAAATTACTCGGTTTAATCTTAAGTGGGGTCAGGGAACCAGACTACATGATTATTTTTCTTGGTTTTTCCAGCATCTACAAACACAAAACTTTAAACAAGTCCCCCAAATCCATCAATTTCTGAAAACTACAGCAAAAGCAAAAGTTGTGTATTCTCTTTAAATAAAACCCTAGTTGTGAAAACATTTGGGGCTCACATTGTAGTAAAAGATCAATATCATGCAATTAAAAAAATGAACAGAAGTGCTGGGTCAAATTGATAAACAGAAACATTTTCCTGAAGGACCTTAAAAATACACTATCGCTGTCGACGGCGTTCTGGTCTATAATATCCCAGGGACCTTCCATGTTAGGCCAAACAAAAAAATAAGTCGGTCTCTGGTCAGCGCGCGCGTCGATTTTAATCATGTGCGTCGATCTTTTTTTTTCCCAAAATGTTCCGCGGTAGCTCCAATAGCGCCCTCTATTTCCGCACCTCCTCAATTTTTTTTACCAAAGAGCACCAAGGAATGGGAAATTGCACCAAGGCAAATGATCGAAAGCACGAAGGCAAATTATGGAGGACACCATTGTACATGAGGACACCAAAAAAGCAAAATAGTACCCACCTTGTCTGTACAATCCAAGCTTGAAGAAAAAAAAAAAGAAAAAAAGAAAAAAAAAAAGCCGCGTGGCTGCGTCAATTCCGGAACTTTGGTCTGACCAGAGACCAAATATTTTTTTTTCTTGGCCTTACTGAGAGGACCTATTTGTTATTCTTTTTATGGCAGGTTCAATGTCATTTTCCATTAAGACCTTTTTTTATGGAGGTCGTTGAACTCGTCGTGTCGGTGCAGCAAGCCACTTACAAATTGCAATGGAGTATTTCCATCCACTTAAAATGAAATAAATTAAAAGAACACTCTGTCTTTTTGCCAAATGTACATGTAGATTAAGACTTCTCTAAACCTTTTAGATCGTATTTGACAAATGTTGTTAAAGGTTATACAACATTTGCTTTTGCTGTAAATTTCAGAAATGGATGGATTTGGGGGTTAGGATTTTATGGCAGATATTGTTACACTGACCTGTTTAAAGTTTTGTGTTCATAGATGCTGGAAAAACTGAGAACAAAAATGCTATTCTTGTAGTTTGGTTCCCTGACCCTACTTCGGACAAAATTGAGTAATTTATAGATGTCAGGGAATTGTCAGGTCAGGGAACTAGACTAGCTGGCTTGCACCCATTCATGGATGTGTAACTGATAGCAAACAACATGTGGACTAACTTAATTTGGTAAATTGGGGGCATTATTTGAAAAAAAGTCTTCTTTTTTTTCCAACGATGGTTGGCCGACCATCGCTGGAAAGTGATACAAAAATTCCACTTTTCTTGAAACTGACAGCACACCAGCAGCCATGCTTTTACAGGATGCTTGAGACTATTATTCACTAACAGCCAAGTAAGGTATTTTGTAATTATTTGGTAGTTTTGTTTTTTGATGTTTGCAAATGTTGTATATTATAGTTTGTATTCTTTTTCTTGACATCTTGCGCCCTGTGCGTTCTCGCAACAGTAATATCTTCAGTCCCGACACTGCAATTGTCCTTTTTTTTCTCCTGTGAATTCAATATCTACAAACCCTGCCCTGACGCGGTGAATGGTTTTTTCAAGGAAGCACTAAAAAAATGCTGTTAACAGGGTAAAATATTGCTTCAGTATAGTTACATGTAGTCCCTGTCCATTTTGGGTGGATCTTTAAATTCAGTAATTTGCAGTAACCTGGCCAATGTGTGTGAATTGTTTTTCACTGCAGCATTTGAAATCATTGACAGTAATAAAGTGTCTTTAAAAAAAATATGCCTTTGCTGTGTTAAACACCTGCCAAATGGCACTCGGTTATTTCTTTTTTGAGTTGAAATACATGTTTTTGTTTTAATAATGAAATCTATCGATGACCACTTTAAAAAAAAAAATCGTTGATAATTTTTTTTCCATAATTAAATGTCGTCTTGCTTTTGGTTAATTTTGTAATAAATGTGAATGAAATGCACATGTGATGATGCAATTGTTGCATCTGTGCTACAGAAAGCAACAAATTTTTTGGCAACATGAGTTTTAGTTAAAGTTTTTTCCGTCAATTTACCGAAGCATCTCACCAAAAAAAAATAAAGACAAAAAGATGAAATTTTTGAAGAGATTTATTTGCCAAATGCACACAAATGTTTGTAATAAACAAAAGAACAAACCAACAAGTTTTTTTTCAATCTTTTTTGTTTTAATTTTATATCCCATTTTAGTGTTTGTTAGCCTTTTTCTTTAACAATGTACATGTACCCTGAGTATAAAAATAGACATGCACAAAATGTACATGTTGCTTTTAGCCTTGCTACAGGGCAGTTGGTAAAAGAAAAAAAAATACAAAATTGTCTCCTCTTTCATCAATCGTAAGTCATTCAAACCAAATTGCGGCTTACATGTAACTTGCCTTATAACACCCCTATCCATTATCATTTTTTTTCTTGTCAATTTATTTATGACCGCCATTGAGTGGCCAGTTGTGAACAGTGTCTCCAATCGTGTACGAGATAAGTGACGGATTTTGATGGCTCCCGTTCCGAAATGAACACCCG